CATTCCTGCGAGCGGTACAAATCTTCTTAGGACCCTCAAGTCTAACAATTGTGAACGCTCTACATTCAGTATGCTTCAGACTGATCCTATTTTTGTGTGTATTTCTGTTTCCAACAACTGTTATAACATATATATTTCTAAAACAGACATATACATGAAGGGTAAAAAGGGTGGGGATGCGAGGGTCAGCCGGTTACAGCTCTTTTGATGGTAAGTGCCGCCCATGCTTTGGTTGCACTTCTAAGTTGGAAAAAAGAAATGGAAAGTTTTGCAAATCTCTTTTAAGGCCTTGAGCAATTATTGAAAGAATTAGGAATTTGATATAGAATGGCAAGTTTGGTAAACGACATACTAGCACGTCATGACGGTCTAACAGCTTACATTCCCTATTAGTGGGTGAACAATCCAACGCTTGGCGAATTTTGCTCTGCAATGATAAGAAGATACAGGGACACTGAAGCATCAAAAAGAACGCTGTTAGGAGGCTTAACTGCCAGAAGCCAATTATCCCTGTGGTAACTTTTCTGACACTTACCAAAAACTATCTGAATCAAAAGGATCGATAGGCCTAGCTTTCGCAGTTTTTACTCGTACTGGTGGTCTAGATCAGCGAGCTTATTTTGCACTGAGCCAGCCTGAGGGCCTACATCACGATTTGGCAGATGTAATTCCCCGTTGAACTCCGCGCCTGACACTGTCTTCGGTTAGAATCGCCAGCCACCACGTGACTTTGCATGATATAAAGAATGAAAAGCCGAAGCTCACTCTTCTACCGTAAAATAATAAATGCCCTGAATGCAAGTTTTTTCTCCTAAAACATTTAGACTAAGTTTTGTGACATCGACTTTGTTACACTGCAGGTAAAATAAGCTACTTTACCCGGAAAATATCGACTGATTTTGTCAAGTTATTGATTTTTTGCATTTTTTCCGAGGACAATTGGTTAACTGGAATAAGTTGAAATGCTGATGCAAATATGATACCTACACAGAGTTTGGTGGTTAATTTTAGTGGTTTATTGTTTTTTCAAACCGCAGTAGAAAGGGGTACATTACGATAAGCTGATTGCCAATTACGAATATGATGAGGACATGTAGACACATAAATTGATTTTATCGATTCAGGTATCTTTGCATCTCTTGCTCCGGGACGCTAGCGATTAGTAGAGCACGATTGTCTACGTGCTGACTACAGAAATGTAACATTCGAAACAATATCACTTTCTTGTCTATCGGTTACCCATGTTTCTTGTTCTACAGTACTGGCAATTAAGGTAAAGATGTTCTTCATACTGGGGATCTGAAATATTT